CTCAGTGCCATCAGCTCTTGGTGCTCTGCCTTTCCTCAAGCCAAGGAGAGTCCCTTCCCTGCAGCTCCTTAGTCCTCGTTAGCTTGATGAGCTCCCCGGATGAGTTGAGCTCGTCCCACCAGCTCCGTGTCCCCTAGAAGAGCTGGGGGTGGCACTGGATTCTGGTGGTGACCAGATGGGTGGCAGGGACAAGGGGGACAACATTGGGACAGGGAAGGGAGCAGGACCACCTGGTCCCACCTGGATCAGGCTGCAGCACATCTTGGGGAGGGTTCAGTGAGACTCTGAGGAGCTCCTGCCACCAGCCCCCCCAAACCCTGAAGCAATGGGACAGGAGGGGACAATCCCTTGAGGGACCCCCACAACCTGCTGGGGAGACCCCCTGGGGAGGTGTGTGGGGACACTGGGGGGCAGGGACTGGCAGGGGGTGGGTGCTTATCCAGGTGGGGGGGGCCGGGGTCAAGGCGATTAGCACCCTAATTCTAAGCAGCTTCCCGTGCCACCCTAAGCTGCTTATGGCACCAAAGCCACCACCAGGGCTGCCCAGGGCAGGTGGGAGGTGTGGGACCCTGGGGACCACCAGGTCCCCACCACCCCTGGGGGTCCCCCAAAAGGGTGACAGGGGGAACAATGGCATTGGGGGGGAGGAGAAGGCCAAGTTTGGGGGGATCCAGCTGGGGGAGAACAGAGCAAGGGGGAAAGAGGCTCCGGTCCCTACGTGGTGCCCATCACCGTGGCCTCAGGCCTTGGCCAGGTCTAAGGTGTCTTCCCACCCTTTTCCAGGGGCTGGAGAGTCGGGCAAGAGCACCATCGTGAAGCAGATGAAGTGAGTACAGCCCCAAGATGGGGCACTGGGATTGGGGGAGGGTCACCAAGATGACCCCAAGAGCTCAGCCAACCCCAGCCAGGATGCTGGGGGGGTGGGCAGGACCCCCATCCCCACCACCCCCAAAGTGCTGGTGGCACTTTGCTGCTTCCCAGGGTGACGGTGGGAGGAGAGGAGGGGGGTGGACCTCAGGGTGTCACAGTTTGGGGCTGAGGCTGCAGCGTCCACCCCACCCCTGTCCCCCCCTTCCAGGATCATCCACCAGGATGGTTACACCCCCGAGGAGTGCATGGAGTTCAAGGCCATCATCTATGGCAACATCCTGCAGTCCATCCTGGCCATCATCCGGGCCATGTCCACGCTGGGCATCGACTACGCCGAAGCCTCCCACGCGGTCAGTGCCCCCACCCCTGGAACCCCCCCAGGGCTCCAGAACCAGGGTCTGTGGCAGCTCCTTGGGGGAGATGTGGGGGAACTGGTGGAGGAAGAGTTGGACCTGAGCAAACAAACAAGGGGCACTGGCAGCTCAGAGAGCCGAGGGATCCTGGGCTGCTGAAGGAGAAGGGAGGGGATTGTGCCCCTTTATTCAGCTATTCTGAAACCCCACCTGGAGAGCTGGGTCCAGTTGTGGAGCCCCCAACATAAGGACATGGGGCTGTTGGAGAGAGTCCAGAGGAGCCAGAGAGATGATCCAAGGCTGGAGCAGCTGTGCTCTGGAGCCAGGCTGGGAGAGTTGGGGTGTTCAGCCTGGAGAAGAGAAGGCTCCAGGGAGACCTTAGAGCAGCTCCCAGTGCCTGAAGGGGCTCCAGGAAAGCTGGGGAGGGACTTGGGACAAGGGCAGGGAGGGATGGGATGAGGGGGATGGATGAAAACTGGAAGAGGGAGCTGGAGGTTGGAGATGAGGAGGGAATTCTTTGGTGTGAGGTGGTGAGAGCCCTGGCCCAGGTTGCCCAGGGAAGCTGTCCAGGTTGCCCGGGGAAGCTGTGGCTGCCCCATCCCTGGACACATCCCAGGTCAGGCTTGACCAGGCTCTGAGCAACCTGGTCTAGTCCAAAAGGTCCCTTCTCCCTGCAGGGGGGGGCTGGATTAAGTGACCTTTGACGTTCCCTTCCACCCCAACACAGTGTGTGACCCTGTGCTGTCCCCTCCAGCCCCGGGGACATCCCGGGGGGGTGGGAAGGTGACACGGGGTCCCTCTGGCAGGACGATGGGCGGCAGCTCTTCAACCTGGCTGACTCCATCGAGGAGGGGACCATGCCCCCCGAGCTGGTGGACTGCATCAAGAAGCTGTGGAAGGACGGGGGGGTCCAGGCCTGCTTCGAGAGGGCTGCTGAGGATCAGCTCA